AAAGGAAGCCCACCACCATGGGAGCTCAGTATGTGTGCTCTGTTTGAATGGCGGTGCCGGGTGACAGAGGGAGTGAATAGCAGACCATGTGCTGGGGCAGGAGGCCCTGTCGGGGAGGCCTGTCTTCTAGACTCCCTGTGTAGCGACGACGTCATGCTGGCAGCTTGGAACCAGACAAGGTGGGAGTATTTATACCACGAGAACAGGCAGAAACTACAAATCGGGGCTCTTCCCTCCCACCAAGGCAATCATTTAAAATATTCCAACCTACCGTGGTAGCCACTGGATGAAATCTTGTGAGAGCAGACGTCCCCGGGGTTCTTACATTAAAAATAAGCCTGAACATTTTTTGCTGTTGCTTTTCTATTTTAATTACCAATACACAATGGCACCCTTCAATTATCTTGTACTAATATTATACATCCTGAGTGGCTCAGCATTTGTGGACTCTCCTGGCAAACTCGCCATCGTTTAAAACATTGTTTCTGTGGGGAATTTTTCCAAGTTGCAAGTTGCTGGCTTTAAAATAAATTTTTGGAAAAGAGCCCGTTGATAAGTGGGGGACTTTCGATTCTGGGTCCTCGTAGGGAAGTTAGAGAACAAAAAGAATCGCGTCAATTTTAAAAATATAGGTTGCAGAATGTATCCTAAATGAAAAGGCAAAAGGATTAGAATTATGTAACCTGGAGAAGAAAAAGAATAGGAGCAATTTAATAACGGGGAGTGAGTACCAGCTGTTTGGTTTTGTTTTTAGGGTTGTTTTTTTTTTTTTTGGCAGGGGGTAGTTTTTGGGTTTTTTTGTCCCCAACTGTAAGCCCCCAGGGATTTGGTTAGCCAACAGATGAATATCTTCGTGGTATTATTCTGGGATGAATGATTTGTGGATTTTATTTCAAATATTTGCAAACTATTTTGCCTCGATATGAGATAATTTACGTATGATCTGTGTTGATGACAAACAAATAGTTAAGACGAGGTTACTTGTCTCCTTGAAACTTAACCGTCACCTCTGTGATCCGAAGTCTAGAGATGGCATAATGTATTTCAGAATTTTGAGAAACGTGATATAATTAAACAAATCTCTTTATAATACATCTTAGAATACCTAAATACAAAATGTACTATTTTCTCTATAAAAAAAAAAAGAATATTATAAAAGGCTATCTAATATTACTATAAAACCTTAAATCAAGCCCTCCTAATCAATACTTTTTGATAATCAAATGAGGGAAATGATGTTATTTGGGGGCTTGTTAAACTAGTGTTAGTTATTCATTCAGAGGGATGGAAGTATTACCCTCCTAAAAGACATTACGGTACCCTGATTTGGCATTTCCGTAAAACAATCTGAAACAATGAAATGACAGCTGTAAATCTGCCACTTGGAACCTTAAAGGATTCACATCACTCCCAGACCCGAGTTTAACGGTTGGTTTACGATGTGGTTTCAGAATAACACTTTTAAGCATAGTATATCCCTTCCTCCAAAACTGACATAAATCCATGAAGCTTTTTAATGATTACTCTAAAATACGGCAAAAGTTTTCTCTGAGGCATATTTTGGGCTTGCTTATCTAAAATCTTTGCATTTCTGAATTTCCCTTCGTGATCTGCCATGGAATAACCACCTACAGTTCAGCCAATAAATGCACCACGTCTTACCCAGGCAGGGGGTGTGGCGACCTGCTCCCCCAGGTGCACCTGCCTCCTCTGCCTTAACCCCAAGGGTCCCTAACCCCTGTGTGCATGAGTATCACCTGGGAGCCTCCAAAAGTGCTGGTTCTCAAGGCCTCTGAGCTAAACGCTGGGCCTGGGGCCTGGCGTTTTAACAGGTTCCCAGGCAGGGGGCCCGAGAGAAGGGCAAGAAGTCACATTTGCGTGTTCTCTGGGGATGGAGTAACTGGAGGGAGCATGGCACGAGACCGGAAGCCCAGGCTCTTGCAGGTGAGGCGCTGCCCCTGGGACCCAGGCCCTGCTCACCCGCCTCCCGGGGCCCAGGCTCTGGGCGCCTCCATCTTGAAGTCCAGGTGCCCCGCTGCAGGTCTGTCCCTGCGCGTCATCCTGCCAGTCCTGCTCGGATTTATTCGAATCCCCTGGCCTCCAACTCTAGCTGCCTCGCCCCTCCCTCCAAGCCCCAGATCCCCTCTTTACCCCCCGTGGGGCCCGACCCTGCTCCCAGGCAATGACCCCCACATTCTCTGCCAGGAGCTCTCTGTGGCAAAGTGACCCCCTAGCGTGTTTGCTCCTGGGTGGCCCGCCCTGCCTGCTCTCCCTCTCTCCCCTCCCCTCCGTCTGTTAGACAGGTTTGCAGGGGCCCGTCCTAGGAGCGTCCGTCTGTCCCCCAGACGCTGAGCCACTGAACGCAGGGCTCTCCTGTGTCTTGCTCTCTGGCTCCTCCACGCCCAGCCTGAGGTGTAGTGGAGTCTCGTGTGTCTGGAATGAAAGACTGGAGATGTAAAAGGAGCGCGTGACTTTTGTCCAGGGCTGTGACGCTTAAGGCCGAGGACTGTCACCTCCAAATGCTTTTGCGCGCTGCTCCCTCGGCTAGAAAGTTGATCTTTGTCCCCTTCACCTGTACATGGCTAATTGCGTCCCAGCCTAGGTGTCTTAGCCACGGCAAGTCTTGCATGGCCCCTGGAGGGCCGGTGCCCCTGTGATCCAAGGGCCCCTGTCTACCTGATCCTGCTCTTCCCCTCTGCATTCCAACGTCTATGTGTCTGAATCTGGTGTAAACCGCCACAGCACGCACCATATTGCACTCAAATTGTCGCTGTGTGTCCTCCCACACCCACTGCTAGGTGGAACGCTCCTCATAGGCGGTGACCGTATTTTGTTCATCTTCACATTCCGGTAACTCAGGCAAGGAGAATGGATTAAGCATTAATATTTGTTCGATCCTGTGTTTTCCAAGCACAATACTTTTGGCATTTGGAGCAAGATGGTTCTTACTGCATAAGACAGCCCCAACATTGCAGGACATGCAGCTGCCCTCGCCCCTGCCCGCTGGATGCCAGGGCTCCCAACAGTCATTTTGACAAGCCCACACATTTGCAAAAGTCCTTGGGGTAAGAGAGCAGTGGGGGTGGGGAATAGCACCATAGTAAGAGCCTACAGTTAACTGAACTCTTTACAACTCAGCAAGAAGCACTGGGCTCTGTGACAGTGCTACGGTGAATTACTGGAGTGTTGCATGTGTCGACCCAGGTAATAGAGAGAGTGCTCTAAAAGGAAAGATATTTATTGGGGAATAGAGCATTGCAATGGGAATGCGCGTGTCATAGTAAACTATGTGCATATGCAGGAAAGTAAAGGAAGACAAAGCTTTTAAGGGAAAAAGCGAGGACGATTACATAATTGTTTTGAAATAATTGTCCTTGGCTACAAAAATCAATAACAAGGGTGATGCCAGTCCAAGGTTGGACAGGCAGTTGCTGCACAAATATCTTTGCAGAAGTATTCTTCGTGAAAGGTTGCAGTAGTCTCTGCAAGGTTGTGGTTTTTATAGTGTTTTGTGATAGTTTCTGTTATCGGGCATGCGAGCCTGAAAGCCCGCTCTCTCCGCTGCCCTCCCCAGCTTAATTTGTCAGGGTTTTTTGGTTTTCTTTTTTTTTTTTTTTTAACATTTAGTGACTTCATTTTGATTCTGACAACTTTGACACACTTGTGTGGTGGTATGAGATGGGGGATGGGGAATGGCATCTGTCACCCACTATTGATAATGGTAATAATAGTTAGCTAATCTTTATTAAGCACTTTATATATGCAGGCACTAGGCTAAGTGTTATACATGGGTTATTTACTCCTCACAACCACCTGTGAGGCCCCATTTTTTTAAAAGGAGCCTGAGGGGGAGAGAGTTTCAAGCCACTGACCCCAGTTAACCCCGCTGGCTACTGGCAAGGCCCAGGTGCAACCCCAGGCTGCTGGCCCCACTGCTCTGTGCCCACCTCTTCGAAAAGAACAAACGTCAGAATTCCCAGATGGAAGCCGCCCATTAAAAGCCGTGCTCTCCTGTTAATTATAATGTAGAGCAGTGCTCTGCAAACTGTATTCTGCATCATGCATCGAGTTCATTCAGTGGGATGTCCAGTGTCGTGAGAATGACAGGTCCCACAGGCAATGAAGGGCGCAGGATGCTTTCGAAAAGGCGCAGGCAGAAGGCCATGAAGCAGTAGCTGTGAAGACAAAACGAACCTTTGTGGGGTGGCTCAGCCTTTCATGGGGGCTCTGGGGTGACTTAGAACTTTGCTGAGTAAACAATGGGGGGAACCAAAAGCAGGTGACAGCGTTGATTAGGCTCTAGGAAAAAAGGCTAATGCAGGAAGGGATAGTGACCTTTCCTCTAATTTCTTAATAATAATAATTAATGGGCACTATTTATTGAGCGTTAATTACTCCCCACTTCACAGATGAAATAAGAGGCCTAGAGAGGTTGGTTAAGTAACATCCCTTAAGGCCTCACAGCTAATGAACAGCAGAGCCCAATTTGAACCCAGTTCTCGCTTGCCTTGTGATTTTAAACCCTATGCACAAAGCCTCTGAGCACTTAGTGTTTGATAAGGGCTTTCCTGCGTGAATGTCCAGAGCAAATTCAGGCTCGGAGAGGATGCTTCCGCAAGCGCCTTATCTCAGGGTTTATGTGGTCACACTGCCTTTCTTTTCAGCATTTCTCTTCAATCTGAAAATCAGTTATTTGGTCTGAGTACTGTACATGACATTTTTTTTTTTCTGGTATGATTTAAGTTTCTTAAGTTTTGCTATTAATTTTAAACTTTACAGATTCCCATGCTCTGTTACATGCTTCTATTTTGGGGGCTAGAGTATTCATGTTGATGCCATAACCTCCCCTGCCTGTTCCTTGCTCGGTCCGACCCCTCCCCGGAGCCAGCGCCTGCCCTCCACGGCCGCTGTAAAATCAGCAGTCTACTCAAGTCTGGAACGGTGCTGGTGTTGGCATCGGACCTCATTTTTTCACTTTTCTCTCTTTTGTTTTTAAACAGATGTGGGTGCATTTTTCGAGGAGGGGATGTGGCTGCGGTATAACTTCCAGGCCCCGGCGGTCAGTGCCAAGGACGCGGGCGGCAGCGCGGACAGCCCCCCCGAGCAGCAGGGCCCCCCCGAGGACCTGGCCCGGGAGGAGATCGGCTTCAGCTTCAGCACCACCAAGGCGCCCTGCATCCTGCTCTACGTCAGCTCCCTCACCACGGACTTCCTGGCCGTTCTCGTCAAACCCACCGGTAAGGACAGGGACACCGAGCCTTCGGCCATTTTAATTTGGGCAGACAGAATGTTCTAGTAAGAGTCCGGATTGTTTGGGGCTTGTTCTTTATTTCCCACAGGACATTGAGCCAATCACATGACTTTGAACTTCATTTCTATACGTGAAAGTCAGGGAAACAACTTGCCGGTTGGGTGCACTATAGCAACGTGTCATAGCAATTGGGGTCGATAAGGCGGGTTGAGGTCTTTACAAGAACCCTATGACGTGAGCATGAGCTGGATTTGCATGTGCAATGATTACTTTTTGTTCCTATTAAATAAATGCATTCACTACTGGGCTAGGCAGAGATGAGCCTTTGAGTTAGTAAAGTTAATTTTATGTAAAACAATTATTCTGATATATGGCAGCGTATCGGTGGGTTCCGACAGAATATTTGAACTGTCAATAGAAGTAGAAAATTGGAGATGTTTTAATTCCCAAAGCCTCTCAGAATTTTACATTCACAAAATAAATCCCTGGGCTAAGGGTTGCATAAAGCAGGGCTGTAGGTGCACTTGCGGTGCCCTGGGCCATCTCGGTCAGCAAACATGCATGAGCCAGAGAGGACCCGAGTGCATCTAGAACAGACATCCTCATGAGCATGCACAATGGGCGTGTGACCCCTCAGCAGCGACCGCAGAGAGAAGTCTGAACAGTCCTGAGGTGTATAAACACGCCAAGGAGTCGTCCATTCCCTCTCTGCAAACTTGCATTCACACCTGCTTAAAGTGTTAAGAAGATCACTTTTGTTATGAATAAAAATATTTTAGGTGCATGCAAGAACAAATCTCCCTAACCCACTTCCCATGGAGATTTATGAGCTGAAAATGTGGAGCTCCCTCTCTCTCCCATCGCTCATCTCTTTCTGCTCCGCGATGATTGTTCCAGCGTTGTAGCATCTTAAAGATCAAGATTTTCTTCCATGAGGGCCGAAAATTATTAGCTTAATTCAGCTTCAGTTTTTTAAAAATAGCAAATTCTTAAATTCCCTCTCTCTGAGCAATGCACCATTGGTTAAAAAGATGGAGGGAAAAAGTATGTTCCGTAGGATTTTTACCTTTCCAAAATTGTATTATTTCCCAAAGAAATAATACAAAAATCAGTCAAAGATTCAGCACAAAGATATTCATCATAGTGCTATTTGTGAAAATAAAAATTGGGAAGAACCTAGAAGTCCAACTTTAGTAAATTAGTAAAAGGAGTCACCATTTTATGACTATCATATATCTATTAAAATAATATTTATGAAGAGATTAATGACATAGGGAAATTTTATGTAATATAACCTTAAGCCAAAAAGGAAAAAAAAAAAAAAGAGATACAACCTTGAATGTATATCAGTTTAGCTCTGTGAAAAATCTACAAAAAGAAAAAAAAAAAAGCAACAATGTGAACACAGCTGTCGGTTGGGTTGTGGATGATTTTTTTCTCCTGAATAATACTCTTCTACACATGTCAAATGCTCACATTGAACAAGTGTCACTTTTCTAATCAGGAACAATAGTAAGTAAAATTGGGAGGTGAGGACACACGGGAAAAGAGGAGGCAACCCCCACTCTTCGGGGGCTCACCAGCTTGCTCCTTCTGCATCAGGTGCAATAGATTTTTAATTCACCGACGCTCCCTACCCGCATGCGCCAGCCTCCCGGTGGGCAGATAAGAACCCTTTGGTTTCCTCTCACGTTCCTCTCCGGGAGGATGGCTGTCACCTTCAGACTGTCAAGAGTTTGATGGACCTGCCCCTGTGGGTGCTGTGTGATGTGCTTCTCAAGTCACTGCCACACTAAAATTCGGTCCCCAGCTGTATTCAGTGCCCTACAGGCCCACTGCCTGCGCCCCAACCGCTGGCACTCCTGCCGCGTGTGTGGACAGTCATCGTGCTCGAGGGCTTCGATCCATCAAATGCCACCGTTTAAGGATGCTCGCTTTGTGCCTCACGCTCTCCCAAGTGTCTCACGTGCATTAATTTCTAGGAGCCAAACTACGCTATGAGGTGTAGACACCGTTCTTATCCCCTTTGTACAGCTGGCGAAATGACTCACACACCCGGGGGCTGATAGGTGAGGCTGGGGTCTCTAAGCCCTGGTGTCGAGTGCCAGGTGCAGTGCTCTCCGCTGCAGGTGTCTCTGGAACATTCTGAGTGCGTCTGGAGGGCAGAGCCAGGCGGCTGCTTTCTAACTGTTGCAAGGCCATCCTCAAACTACCATGTTTCCCCGAAAATAAGACAGGGTCTTACAGTTATTTTTCCTCAAGAAGACACCCTAGCACTTATTTTCAGGGGATGTGTTATTTTTTTTAAGTACGGCACAACAAACTACATTTATTCAAATATAGTGAAGTCATCTTCTTCTGGAACATCATCCTAACTCTCCAAACCCCGAATTCCATCCTGACTTTCTTGTGAGACTCTATTTCCTTTAGAACCATTGGCCCCAATCTCTCATGTCCAGTGATAGAGCTCTCAGGGGGCAGATGAGAAGGGCTGCTCGTAGTCTTTCCCGCTCTGGGACAGAATGCATGGGTTGACAGATGCGCTGCGTAGCCACGCCCAGCACTAGGGCTGATTTTCATAGTCACGCCCATCACTAGGGCTGATTTTCATAGCCACACCCATCACTAAGGCTGATTTTTCATAGCCACACCCACCACTCGGGCTGATTTTCATAGCCACGCCCATCACTAGGGCTTATTTTCATAGCCACGCCCATCACTAGGGCTTATTTTCAGGGTAGGGCTTCTATTGCGCAAACGCTTACAAATCCTGCTAGGGCTTATTTTATGGGTAGGTCTCATTTTCGGGGAAACATAGTACTAATGAAAATTCAGCTTTTTCATACATCAAATACTGTTTGTTTTTATTCATTGAAATTTAAAGCTAGAAAAAAGTTGAGGAGCTCATTCAGGAAAAAACATTAATAAGGTCTACATCAAAATATTAGAGGGGAAAAAATAGAAAGTTCTCATCAAATGCCCTGGTATCCCTGAAACTTCATATGCTGGGGAAGCTCTCGTCTCTGTTCTCCAGAACCGGCTCCCGCCCGACCCGCCTTGTCCCAACGGTGCCTGCACCGACCGCCAGGAGATGCCTGAGGTCCCAAGCTGTGTCACTCACCAGCGCTCCATCCTGCCCTCCATGGGCCCCCGAGGCACACACGTCCTGTGGACTCCACTGTCATTGTGTCCTTTCCCTCCCAGCCACACGTCTTCTGCCTCCGTGTTTCCCAGTGTTGTTCCTGTCATGGCACCACAGAAAATTATGACGTTTGAGCGGCACCTGGGTAAAGGGTTGGGGTGGAGGTTTGGGGGCCACCCTCCTGCAGGTCTGCCGGGGTCAGGGGCGCCAGGCTCCAGCACGCGTCACCCATGGTGGACAGCAGTGCCCTCGCCCACTGGCAAGTTCCTTCTCGGTCTATCGCTCCGCTGCCAGTGGCTCCTGCCTCCTCCTTCCCCCCTCAGCCAGAGTTGTCTTTCCTTGCAGGGTGTCTTAGTCTGTCTCCTGTTGTTCATAATAGAATACCTCAAACCTAGTAATTTATAAAGAAAAGGAATTTGCCTCTCATAGTTATGGAGGCCGAGAGGTCCACGATCGAGGGGCCATGTCTGGCGAGGGCCTTCTTGCTGGGGGAGGCTCTGCAGTGAGGAGGTGGCACAGGTGTCGCGGGGCAAGGCCGAGCGTGCTAGCTCAGGTCGCTCTTCTTCTTCCTCTTATAAAGACACCGGTTCCCCTCCCTTGATAACAGTTAATCCATTAACCCATTAATTCGTTAATCTATGAATGGATGAACCCATCCATGAGGTCAAAGCCACTCCATCCTGCCCCACTGGAGACTGAGTTTCAACATCAGTCCTGCAGGGGACATTCAGACCATGGCATAGGGACATTGTTTAATGTCAATTATATAATATCCCCACTACACACTCCATGACACCTTCCTCCAGCAAAAACAGGAGAGAGACTCCCTAATCCCACAACTTCCAACCCAGACCTTCCGGCCTCCGGGAAAGAGCCTGGACTGTAGAGCCGGACTTCCAGGTTTGGATTCTGCTTTGCCTTTTGCCAGTTGTCCTGGCAGCTAGCAGCTCCGTGCCTCAGTTTGCTCATCTGTAAAATAGGAGCATTGTGAAAATCAGAGAATCTGTTAATTTAATCTATATTTTGCCACATATTCAGGGGGTGCTATATTCAGAGAAACTCATCCCCCCCACCCCCACCCCCAGCACTCTATGCACACCTGCGCCCTGGCCTTATGCCCACGATGCTCCCTTACCTGGAAATGCTTCGTCTTCCTCTGCAGTCTAACGCCTGCCTTTCCTTCTAGGCCCACATCAAAGTCCCATCTCCTTTCAGTGACTTCCCCTTGCTTTAAGCTCCTATTACACTTATTTTCAATGTCATTTGTTTGGCACTTAATGTACTGTATTGTTATCTGTCTCTGTTATAAATATGCCCTGTCTTCCCAGAGAGATGAAAAGCTCCCAGCACTGCATCTCCTGCCCACAACAGGTGCCCTCTAAGTGTTTGCTGATGGTAATGATGATGCCAGGGGAGAATAAATCTGTTGAGCAAGTTATTTGCTGCAGCCAATAAAAGAGCAGTCCCTTATAACTGCTTTAATTCACTGGGGAGGTGAACATGAGACACAAGAAGCGGAGCATCTCTCCATTTGAATAATATTTTATTTGCATGGACAAATATTAACATTTTCCCTACCATCACTTAGTGGTCCTCTTCTGCTATTGTCTGAAAGGAATAAATATATCATTTAAATTTGATTATTCAAGAATACTCCCATTACTGTTTATGGATATCCACGATGTATACATTTAAAGTTCCAATGCATCTTTTTTCTCAAAGCAAATAATTTTTGGTTTTCATCAAGTAAAGCAGTTATAGGAGGACTTTTAAATCATATTTACAAAATCCAAGAAAGCTAGAAAAAAAGAAAAAAGTCTTAAACAACTTATACTGATTTTTAAAAATCTGGGAGCATAAAAAGACCAATGACAAAGAGACAGCAAGGAGGGAAACGTCCAGCTTTTTGCATATTTATTGGTTCCTCTGCCTGTAGCCTTCGCAGACATGGCTGGCTTTAGCTCGTCTTTGCCTGCCCAGGTCCGACACAGTGCCTGGCCCAAGCTACAGTGCCAGGAAGGTTGTCTGCATTAGAAGTGGACTCTACGCTTGTATCCAGACAGAAAGCCCACTTTTAGACCTTGCAAAAAGCTGTGCTAAATTCATGTGTTCTAAAGAAAAGAATAAGTAGTGAGCCAATACAGCTATGCATGTAAAACAGCTGGCTAGGGTGCTGTGATGTTGGAGCTCCAGAAATAAAGCAGAAAGGAAAAACTTAAGACAACCAACTTCTTTTTACACATGTTGCCAAACAACTGCCTAATCGTCTCCTTCACTCCCAATGGATTCTTTTTAATGCTATTAAGATAAAGAATTAAAAATAGGGTGAAACAATGAGGGGTGGAGAAGGAAGCAGGTCAGGAAGAGAGAGCAGCATGTTCAAAGGTCCTGTGGTAGGGAGGAGAATCATATTTTCCAGGGAATAAGAGAAGCCCTAAGTAGCTTGAATGTGCGAAGTGAGAGGGTGAACGGAACTCAAATCAGACAGGGCACCATACGCTTTGTTAAGAATGTATTTCTTTATCCTGTGAATAACTGGAGGACTTTGAAAAGTTTTAAATGAACCAATGAAATAATCAGTTATGCATTTTGGAAAGATCTTTGTTTTACTTTCCAAAGAAAACACTGGGAAGAAGAAAGCACAGAAGCAGGGAAACCGTTCAATCGTTTATTCCACCAGTATGGGGTAGTGCCGTCATGGAGTAGTGACGGGCAGAGTTGGGCTGAGGGCTCACTGCAGGAGAGGGACGGGTCTGGGGACAGGGAGTGCCCACGTCTCCTTCTGCAGGACTTGCTGGAAGGAAGAGCAGAGGGAGCTGGGACTCGCTTGAGAGTAAAATGAGGTCAAGGTTGGTGATTTCAAAAGAGGAGGCTGGTTAGGATCCAGTGACCCGGGTGCGAGAGGATGGTGGCGCTTGGGTGGGCAGAGGATGAACAGCTGTCTCTGCATGCAGCCGCGATCCTGTGGAGTCACAGGGGGACACTCGGGGCCAGCAGAGGCTCCGTGGTCACCCAGATGGAGGAGAGCGCGGGGATCTAGACAAATGCGGGAGACGAAAACCAACAGCGCCTGGTTGAAGCGCTCTAGGCAGAGGAATCCAGTATACAATGCTAAAGTAAGACTCAGAAATAGTGAGGGTCGGTTGAATTTTGTTCAGAAAACAAAAATAAGGAAATGCAGTCAGCTCTTGATTATTCTAACGGATGAGTCTCTCAACTCCAGGAACACGGTGCCGTATTATACATGGCAAGTGTGATGCTAGAATGCCCACAGGAGCAAGAGAAGCACGTGTGTGCGTGTGAGTGTGTGCATGTGTGTGTGTGAATGTGTTTGTGTGTGTTTGTGTGTGAGATAGGATGCACGAGAAATGCCTGGAAGGAGAACGCCAAGATGTTTAGAGTAGTTATCTCTGGATGCTGGAATTTCAAGTGACTTTCTTTTTTTTTTCTTTCTGTTTACTTTCTAAGTTTTAATTACCGTGTTGTATTTTATAACTTAAAAATCAGAATATCAGTTTTGTTCCTCTAGAAAGAAACTGAGAGAGGCCACAAATAATCCATTAGGTGATTTGCAGTGGGTCAGACTCTTGCTAGACGGCTGGCTCCGGTTTTAAGCTCTAAGATGTCAAAGGCTATTAACAACGGGAAAATTCCAACTTGAATGGGGAAAAAAGATAAAAAAAATTGATTATCTTTAAAAATCATAAATAAGAAATAAAAGTTATGCTCGCCGTGCAGAATAACTGAAAGCAGGATCTAGACTATCACATTAGTCTTTTTAAATATTGTTTGCCGTCATTGGGAAGAAGCCAGAAGGAAACAGGAATACAATGTTGAGGCAAAAGTTCAGTGTCATTAAGGGGCAGAAGCAGCCTTGGGCACCTGGGAAGCCATCTTTCCCTTTAATTTCCCTTTAATTTGCGTTTGGCTAGTCTTAACCGGAAATGAAATTTAGTACTTTGCTTTCTGGGTCTCAGTGAGGCCGCCCCAAATTGCACATATTTATCTTTTAAAATTATGTTTATTTTTAATATCATATGCTCACGGTTCCGTTGTATGCCCAATGCCACACTCTGCGGGTGGAGAGAGACGGTCCCTGCAGGCTGCACTCGTTTATCTCTCATTTCTCACATATTTCCTGGGTCCTGCAGGCGTCTCCACAGTCCTACACTGTATACGCTCTCATTCTTCATTCCCAGATACAATCCCAACTTGGATCATTTGTGCCATTTGCTGCCATTTCTGCTGCCTCGGCGACCTGGTCACCAGGGTCATTGTTGGCAGATTGCAAATACATGTGAGCCAGGTGCTGCCGGCCTGTCTGGATCAGTAGGTCTCTGATCTACCGAATCTGAATTCAACACTGGACTGGTGTCATTGGGGCGTCAAGGGAGAAAACAGAGTTTACCAGAAACCTACGCAGCAAGGGGTGGAGGAAAGTGACATTAAAACGCAACCTAGGGCACAGAAATCACAGAGTTTCTTTCCTTCTTCTTACGCAGGAAGCTTACAGATCCGGTACAACCTGGGTGGCACCCGGGAGCCGTACAACATCGACGTGGATCACAGGAACATGGCCAACGGGCAGCCGCACAGTGTCAACGTCACCCGTCACGAGAAGACCATCATTCTCAAGGTATAGATACGTGTGTGCGTGTGCATATGAATTACATGTGATACAGTATCGTAGCGTGCATATGAATTACATGTGATACAGTATTGTAGCGTGCATATGAATTACATATACGGTATCAGCGTGCATATGAATTACATATGATACAGTATCGTAGCGTGCATATGAATTACATGTGATACAGTATCGTAGCGTGCATATGAATTACATATGATACGGTATCATAACGTGCATATGAATTACATGTGATACAGTATCGTAGTGTGCATATGAATTACATACGATACAGTATCGTAGTGTGCATATGAATTACATATGATACGATATCTCTGTCCCATGGCCATCAGTTTGTTTTGGGGGGTTGGAGCAGGTGGCAGAGATGCTTGTCACTCTCTCTCCTACACGTGGGCGACTAGTGAGGTAGAAAGACACGCCAGCCCTACAGGAAAGGCAGTGATGAAGTGGATGGTGAAGACGCCCTTTTCAGGGAGAAATAGAACGAATGTTTGCTTTGTCTATTCTTGGTGGCTTTCCCAGTTTGGGACCCGAATATCTGTCAGTCTGCTCTTCTATCCACCACAACATCTTCCGTCACCGCGCCCTCAGCTGTCTGAAACTTCTCGTGTTTCCCAGCAAAGGTTATTTTGGTTTTTATGACCTACTTCTTTCACTACTCCAACACAATAAATAGGAAGAACTATATATATAATTTTTTTTTTTCCTCTGCAGAGGCTTTGCCTTAAAATTTCTCAAAACACAGTCTTTCCCAGAATCTCAGCCTCTGGTTGCAGGCTTTGGTTTTATTATGACGCTCACAGGTCCCTTGATTGCCCCCACCCCACCCCGGCAACTTTCACAATGAGGAAGGCAGCGTGGGAAACACCATGAATAAAACATGCCATGGGGAGGTCTCCCTGGGAGCGGAGCCAAAACATCAAGGATGGGAACTGTCACTGCGCTCTCTAGAAGGAGTTCAAAATAGATACCTGTCAGGGAAAGGAACAGCAGGAGGATGCCGTTTTGTCAGAAAAGTGGAGTGTCATTTGGCAGGAGTTCAGCAGCCTCTCAGACCTCGTTCCGACGCGGCTGGTTGCTGTGGGAAGTTCAGGCTGCAAAGAAAAGGCACGAGCCCTGTCTCTTTTGAGCACTGGTGGATGTCCGATTCATAACTTGATATGGAGTTTGCACGTGGCCTTTTAGCGGTAAATGCTAGAGGGCATTCTAAGGAGAGGTCTTTCCTAGGAAAAATGACAACATGCTGTTACAGCTTACTGCGCCGTCAATCAAACTCAGTGTAATAAGGTTATCTCTAGTGATGGACAAAGTCCCCGAGCCTCTCACGACGCCTGGCACACGTTAGGTGCTGCAAATTCCTTATTGAGTAAACCAAACCCATCTTTACCCGTGACTCAAATTTTAGGCAGAGAAGCCAGCAAATCCAGGAGACAGATGGTGGCATACCATTCTATCAACATTGCCATCATTGGCTTTTGATTAGACATGGTCTTATTTTAAACCACCCAATCTGTCACCTCTTTAAAAGAAAGTGATTTATCTAACCATTTCACCATTGCAAAATAACAGTATAAGTCAAAAGACCTAAAAAATTGGCTTTGTGGCCGGGCGTGGTGGCTCACACCTGTAATCCTAGAACTCTGGGAGGCCGAGATAGGCAGATTGCTCAAGGTCAGGAGTTCAAAACCAGCCTGAGCAAGAGCGAGACCCCGTCTCTACTATAAATAGAAAGAAATTAATTAGCCAATTAAAAACATATAGAAAGGCCGGGCGCTGTGGCTCACGCCTGTAATCCTAGCTCTCTGGGAGGCCGAGACAGGCAGATTGCTCAAGGTCAGGAGTTCAAAACCAGCCTGAGCAAGAGCGAGACCCCGTCTCTACTATAAATAGAAAGAAATTAATTAGCCAATTAAAAACATATAGAAAAAAATTTGGCGCATGCCTGTAGTCCCAGCTACTCGGGAGGCTGAGGCAGGAGGATTGCTTGAGCCCAGGAGTTTGAGGTTGCTGTGAGCCAGGCTGACACCATGGCACTGAAGCCTGGGCAACAAAGTAAGACTCTGTATCAAAAAAAAAAAAAAAAAAAAAAGTTGGCTTTAAGGACAGCATAATAGAGACCCACCACAGTCACAGCCTCTCACAGGGGTGACCCTCACCCTCGGCCACAGCGAGTTAGAGCTGGACCTGAGTGAGGGGAGAGGACTGCACAAATTTGAAGCACTCAGGGCTTTGAAGGCACAGAAAGCCGGAAATCTAGACAGTGGGGGAGCCAGAGAGCTGCAGAGAATCTAGGGGACTAAAAAAGTTTGAGGCAGAGTCTGGTTCTATTCCCCAAGATTCTTTTGGTGACAAATGACAAAAAAGCAATTCAGTTTGTTGGGGGAAATTCCTAGGGTAAGTCATAGAAATATAGAATTCAAGAAAGGGAAAAATCGAAATTTGGGAAGAGAATCTAGGGAACCTGGAGGATTGAAACTACAGACCAAAATACCAGTGGGCTGCTTCCCTCCCTCCCTTGCCCTTCCCCTCCCTCCCTCCCTCCTTCCCTCCCTCCTTCTCCTGGTCTCTGCTCTCTCTGAGGACTGGGCTTACTGCAAGCCCCGCCCTTCACATACCGTGAGACACAGTCACAGCAGTGCTGGGCTCATGTCTTCCCAATCTTGCTACCAGAAGAAAGGGTCCTAGTTTCTCGATTTCGACTTTAGAGACCCAGAGCATCTCTGATCAGCCTGGCTTGAGTCCTGTACTGCCCCCGTTTGGGGGGGGGGTACCATGATTGGTGGTCCCTAATCGAGTCTCACGATCAGAGTGGGGGATTGGGAAACTCCTCCAAGAGCACAGAAGGCAGTTCCAGAAAAAGGAAGGAGACGTGACAGGCGTGAAACACATTGGCCGCGCAAGGCTCTGAGGTGGGGGAAGAGGGAAACCTGGGAAGGACTCCAAAACACAAGGACAGAATTCCGCCCTAGGAACTGTACCCGGGGCGTTGGGAAGTCCTGCTCTCCCACCTCCTCCCCTGTCATGCAATGCAGCCTGGCTGCCCGGGGATTTCTGGGCACCTTTCAAAGCCAGCCGCCTCAGCCTGCTTGAGTGCCGGTAGGAAACACTTCACAGTAAACACTTCACAGTCTGGGAGCTCCCGTCTTTCTCAGCCCAGCTTCCCCCATCTGGCCTGGGGGGCTTCCCCTCCGTGCTTCCCTTTCCTGGGGAGAGAAGGGAAGTAAAGGTAGAAGGTGGTAGAGGAAGAAAAGCTGTGGCTCCTCCTATGGAAAAGTAGGTGGGAGGGTGCCTAGCTTCATGCCCCACTTTCTTTTGGGCAGGGAAGCCTTGCAGAGCTTGGAAGTAATTCCAAGAATGCCTTTACAGCTCTAAAAACACTGCCATTTTCTGTTTCTTAAAAACAATCTACAAACCCATCTTGAGAACCTCTACCCCCTCAACGATGTGTGGAAAGAGATACAACAAGAATGTTACCTGTGATCATTTCCGTGTGAGGGGATTATAAATGGTTTTATTTCCCCTAGAGTTTTCTGTATTTCTTCATTTTCTATTGTAAAACATGTGTTGCATTTTTTATAATCAAACAAAAATACAAAACATACATGTGTTCTTAACCTATTACTGATAGCGCCCCCCCCGTTGTAAGAAAATAGAATGACAGAGATATTTAAATAATTTCAAATTAAAATTTGCTTATAATCAAAGAACAAAAATAAGACTAATTCAAAGATGAGTTTTAAAGTGCCATGAAATGATACCTTTGGAATTAAGGCGAACTCGCATGCATTTATACATGCTCAAACATCCTATAATTTCGATGACTTTATCAGTGTTTATGGTATCTTTAAAAGCAGGTTTACTCTCCCAGCTGGGTTTGGCTAAAGCTAACACTACGTTAATTTGCATTCCTGCAGCACACACTCTCTGAAACAGTGCTGAGCACTTGAGGGAAATTGACCTTGGATGAAACATTTGCTGCCGAAAAACAAAGTGCCCAATCTCCACGTAGATAATAAAGAAATGACTCTCGCAGTTACCAGACACCAGAGCGAACCGGACACCATGACAACCCTCAGGTGGCATCATTTACGAAAACCCACAGTTGCATCAGGGATAATAATTTAAGGCTTAATGTCAGTCAAAATGCAAACAAAGCCTCTCACAGGCGGGGAGCACCTGAAAAGGTCCTGTGTGCAATGAAAGATCACGACAATTAGCATGAATCCAAAACCTGAACATTACGGTCAACAGCTTCAAAGCCTTATGTGACTAATCTTTTCTGCTTCCTTCCTTCCTGCCTGCCATCCGTGGTTCTTTTAATTCCTACTTCTTTCCTTTCTTTCTTCCCAACCACATCGCACAAGAGATCTAAGGAGGTTTACAGGAAGTACATAAAATAAAGTAGAGAATTAAAGTAAGTCACAAAAAGTAAGTCCCCCCACACGGGGAAATAGATTGAGGTCATATGGTTTTACCACCTGCACAGATTTGACTATGAATTTCTTGGCGGTCAGAAGTATACAACCCATAAAGTATGCCAATTCCTATAAAGGAATTGTATCATTCTTTTCATTTTTTTTTTAATACTATGGGTTATATTCACTGACCAAAAAACAGCCTACAGCATGGTCCACTTGTGCAATATCACATACATGATACCAGTTCACATGTATTGATGATTACTGTGTTCTAGGCAACGTGCCACACCCTTTAGACACGTCTTCTCATTCAATCCTTATGAGGTTTGTGCCATTATTACTATCTCCATTTTAGAGATGCAGAAACTAAAGCTCAGGAAATATGACACAACTCCCCAGAGTAGAAAGCAGTAACTAGCAGCAGTGTAGCTGAAGTGTTGCTACCTTTCTTCGAAGTTTACACATGCCCTTTACCCTCACTTCACAGAGAGAGGTCTGGAAGGATGTTCACAAAACTTTGAAAGTGGATACCTCTCACAGGTAGGAAATCGAGTTATATTATTGTGATTG